CGCTTCTTCTATATATTGATAGAACATAATCCAACTTTGTCAGAAAACTACCTCTTACAGCATTGTCTCCTCACTCATCTTGTTTTTAGCTCTCCCTTCTACTTCTACTCTCTTTCAATATCTTTCTCTCTCTCTCTCTTTCTATCTCCTTATACTTCTCTCTGTGACGGCACAGGTTTTGTCTCAGCTTTTTAGAGACCCGTTTGATTATGAAAACTAGTCAAACTCTCGGTTATTGTTTCATGAGAAGCTCACAACTCTCAGATGGATTACCACCATGATCAACCTCTCCTCACTACTTCATGAATAATCCAAACATTTTCATTTATTTTTATAAGTTAATTCATCGATATATATATTTTTGTAATCTTTTAAACAAGTTCGAACAAAATCAGAACTTGTTTAGTCTCGAATCAACTTTCCATTTCATTTCAATTTTTCTCTAAACAGTCTATATCCCATGTGTGAACTAACAGAGAGAACTGCTAGTTGTTAATTACCTCTTTCTCTCTCTCTCTTTCTCGTTTTTTTACCTTTCTTTTCATAGCATGCAGTTATGCTCTACCTTTTCTATCCGTTCTGTCTCCTTTCCTCTCATCTCTTCCTCTCTCTCACTTTCTATGTGTCAACCTATTGAATAAAAAATATTTTTAATTCTTCACCAAGTTCATGCTCTATCTCATCATCCGATTTTTCAAATTATGCCCAACCCCAAAAAAACTTGTTTTTCATCTCGAAACATTCAGAAATATCTGAGAGCAACAGGAAACATACACCGGATCAGTTGCATCACCGTAAAAACTTTTTCGCAAACAAGTTCACGTCTCGACACGTACAAATAGAGGAACATGCCTTGAGGGCAAACGTCCTCTTTCTTTTCGTCTCTTCCTTTCATTAAAGACATTCGTTCCGTATCTTTCTCATATTTCTCTCAGGAATTTTTCTTTTTTTTTCTTTTCTGCTTGTCTCTTCGGTCTGACATCTCGTTTTTTTTCTACACACTCTTACCAACCTCTGAAAATCATGTTCTAATGGTTTGAAGCGGCGGTGCCACGCCGTGGTCCCGTAATGTCGGCAAAAAAATCTGGTTTCGTGAGAGATGCCGTCCTCGTTCTATCCATCCTTGTCCTCGTTTATTGGACCACCATCTCCCAACACCAACCCAACTAGCTTCGTTCAGCTTACAAAGTAGGCGGAGTCAAGTTGTAAGCAAAGTGCAAACGTATTGTTAGCTAACAGTCTGGCACAAGGACGCCTCAAACATTTTTTCGTGTCCTTGTCCAACTCTTTTGTGTCATTGGAAATGAAATTAAAAAAAAAGGTGAAAAAAAGGATTTTTTTTCTCATCTGATTCCATAACTTCATAAACTGTGTCTTCTTCACATTCCACACGTCAGGCTATTGGTATGGAATTTCCTCATTGATTCTTTGAACAGCAATTGGATGATGTATGAAGAGTATAGTCTTAGTCCCACTGTCAATCAAAAGTTGCTTTTTAATCAAAACACGTGCTTGCTCGTCCATATTTCGTCAACTGCACGACAGTTAACATTCTGTACTTTACTGTTATCATCTGAGGTGGTTGTTATCTTTTGCAAATTAAACTATGACCAGCAGCACCAAAAGCATTCATCTTCAGTCATATATCTACATATATAGTATATGTAATTAGTATTCTATGTCCCTTTCATCACGAACCTCATATCATCACATCTTCATCTTTGAACTTTTTTTTCTCCGTTTCACTCTTCTTCATTCCATTCATGTTGAACAGCAACAAGAGTATCTTTCCCTTTCCATTCCTCTCATTCTCTCTCTCTCCAATGAAATTATGTTTTCTTATCATTTTCCTAGTTCAATGATATGCTATGCTAGTATACCTTGCAAAAGCACATTTGCATGTTCACGTTTCCCACGTAAATTATTTTACGCATTCTCATGTCAAATCATTTGTTGCAATCTTCCAACATACAGAACGGTTGAGTTTCTCTTATTCTATCTTCTTTTCCTTTCCGTATATTCTGCTCTCGTTCTCCCTCATCGTCTTCCTGTCTATATTGTATTTTCTTCTTTATAATATATTATATTCTCCTCATTTGTGAGCACTCTTCAGCTTATCAACTCTCTCTCTCTCTCTCTCAAACTACTTTTCAGCCTTTTTTCGAACTTTCGAACTTTCTGAAGCTCAGAAATTTTCTTATGTTTTCTCTCTCCAGTCTCTCTCTCTCCCTCTGTTTGTCTTCATTTTTTCCCACGCAACGTACGTGAATGCGTATATTCTAGTCCGGATGGGCGACAAACTGTTTGCCTAACGAACTTCGACCCCAGTCAGCAACCAGTCTTCATTCTTTATCTGTCTATATATCCCCTTCAACTAACAACTTTAACGTTTATTCATCAATCATATGTAACTTAAGCTTACACACGGGCGTGAAGCTCAATATAAATCTTCCTCCAATGCATTTCCCATCTCATCTCGAATTCTGTTCCTTTTGTGTTTTTGATCTAACTTCCTTTTTTATCAAAAATTACTTTGATAAGAACTGAGTAGCATTTATATTTCTTTTTCACACTCTCCTTTCAGCCACAAGTCGGCATTTAGGAACTGGAATGAAAGATAAAGAGAGTTAGAGATAAAATGTGAAACAGAGTTTGTAATTCAGAACTTTCATTCTCATTTCCATTTCTCTCCTTATTTCTTTTGTTCGGCTTATATACACACAAGCACTGACTTTAACAATCTCTAACGTTGAGGTTGCGTCAACTTGACTCAAATCTTCTGTAGAAAGGTATAAAGAGGAAAGAGAGTGAAAAGGGATAAGAGAGACAGAGAGAGCAAAAACGATTGAAGATGAGAGAAATGAAGGAAAACAAGTCGAACTGTTTGTGGTAAATGATTGTCTACAATAGAGAGCTTCTATACGAAGGATACTTCCGTATTGGTCGCGTAACCTCACCACCTCATGTTTGGTCACTTTTGCTTGCTCTGTACGTCTTCATTTAGCTGCTCTCATACAAAAATCATTTGAATATCAAATATAGTTTCATCAATTCATATATATTGTGTGAAATGTAGAGTATGTGAATTGAAAAGAATTCTATTCGTATCAAAGACTCTCCCTGCAAGTGAGGAGGACAGGAAACACATCTTCTTTTCATCTAATCATCTTGCAAGTCATGTCAATTCGCATATCTGATACTACCTGAGCTTTCAATAGGCTAAACCTTCTGAACAAAGTACAAAATGTGTTATCATTTGTCGATTGTTCCATCCGAACTGTGTTAGCATTAAACTCAAAGTGATTGAGAGTCTGATAACAAGCTTGCCAAATGCAAAAAAAATATCAAAAAAAAGCTTGCAAATCAATTGACTTCAACTTACTGGAATCACATTTGCTATCGCAACAACTTTCTGACCTTTTTTTTTTCTTCCTAATTTGACCTTTTTATTTGTCGTCAACTTGCTTAGGTATTCGTGAATGCTGCAGAAACGCCAGCTTTACCTAAAAAACCTTGGAAAACGAAAAAAGTCTTTCCGTTCTAGGCCACATTCAAGTTTCTCAATAAGCTTTAAAGATATCTTAATATTGCTACGTAATCATTTCAAGGAATAAGGTCGTGGGTGCTCGGAAGAAACGTTCTGTGACATTCCCTGATCACACCAGATTCTTTGATAAAGCTATAATCAGTAGATGTTTATGGAGGTCCAAAAAGAGGATTTCATAATTCACTTCAACCGTTGTCCTATTTTTTTCAAGCTGTTGTGTCATTTATTAGCGTATCGTCATGTTTCTCTTTTATTCTGAAGGTATGACTCTCACGTGCGTATCTGGTCTACATTTGCCTTCAACCAAATTCCTCTTTCTCAATCCGACTTTTTTTTTCATCTTCTTTTCTCCACATTTTCCCTCCCAACCGTCTCTCTACGTTCACAATCATCGTTTTCTCATTAATTCTCTTTCTTACCGTCTCTCTATCCCTCCTATAGATGTATTTTCCTCTCAATGTAACCTATGCCCCATGACCAGAGGGATTTTTTCAGTTTAACTTTCTTTCATTTCTTTCCTCCATAAACTATTTTCCTTATTCTTATCCTCAATCTCCACCATCCTCACTGTCTCGACGTCATCTAGCTGACCAAGACCATCGTCTCCGCCCATCACACAGAAGAGACCGGCCGATAGCCTTTAGTCTTCCTGCCCCTCCCCCCCCTCTCTCTTCCTTCCGTCGAGGTCAGTCAGCGCACAAAATATAGTAAAAAGCAGGCCATTTTTAGTCATTACTATTACATGTGTTTCCATTTTATATACATATATAATTTTTTGTATTCACTCAAGTTTTCTTATCTTCCAAGCAAAAGCTTTTGATTGCCATTAATTTCCATAATTGGGTGAGAAAGTCTTTTAAGCTCTCTGACCATCCATAATTCTTATTCACTTCAACATTTGCACATCTTTCAAATTCTTTATTGTCATTCTGGAGCTTATAAGGATTTTTAAATTCTCTTTAAAGCCGACCTCAGTGAGTTGATGAGATGTAAATGACATGCGGTCGCCATCGTTTTCTCTGCCCATCTTGCATAATAATAGATATTTGCCATTCAGACAGACCTTTTTCTTTTTTTCGATGTCTGCTTTTTCTTTCCAATTGGTGGTCTTTTCTATTAGAACTCATATTGTGTTGAACAGCATCTGCTCATCTGTGAGAAAGATTAAAAAAATATGTCCGAAAATAGTTACGAGCTCGTAGTTCCGTTAGTTTTCGTTTTAGCAGATGGGCTTCACTGCCTTCTGCCATTCAAGGTTTAGGACATTTGTTGGCGCCATTTTCAGTCTCATGTCTCATGTCTACTTTAATTTCCGATTTTCATATTTTTTTTCTTCCTCGTATGGTTGCTCATAACGATTTGTGAAACAGCTTTTATTGTTTTCAATATGCCTTCTTCTATGTTTGAATGTCTTTTTACGAGATTGAGCTATTTCACTTTCATTTGTCTTCAGATGTTGACGGCCATGAACGGTCCCACAACTCTGGGTTCAAAAGCTGCTCAACGTCAGCACTGTTACCTTTGTGATCTTCCTAGATGGCCATGGGCTATGTGTACGGATTATATCGAACCAGTATGTCGTGGATGTGTCAATTACGAAGGAGCTGATAGGTAAATCAAAAAATGATTCTGACTGTTGCTCATCATCTGTAATTCAAACTCAAAAGGTCATGAAACTGAACTCTCGTTACTTTCTATCTCATTTGGTTGTTCTATTCACCCTATTAATACTTTGGTTGTTCTGTTCACCCTATTAATCAAATGATTTGGAAGGACAAGGTTCGAAATCGAAAATGTAGTCTAGCCGATTACAGAAGATGAGCTGCAACATCGATAACATTATCACTTGTGAAAACTTCTTAACTAACATTTTCTTTTATAGAATAGAGAATGTTATTGAAAATGCCAGACAGATGAAACGCGTACACGGATTCCCCATAGCAGAAATGACAAATAGATCTGTTGTAAGATTTCTTGAACATGTTAAAAACTGAAAAGAAACTTTTGCAGAAGTCTGAGAGTACCACATCCATAAATACTTCCACAGGTAGACATTCTCCACCTAGAATAACTGTGCCAACCACTCAACATACAACTCTTCCAGCTCTACAATCAACCATGAATCATTTAGAGGTATCGAACTATTATCACTATCGCTAGTCAACCATGTTTCTTTAAGGCTTTTGCCCAACAACAGCGCTTACTTGCATTAGCAGCCCAGCGTCCTCAACCTCAACTTACTGTTGAAGATATAGCTTTAATCCAACAACAAATGCGTAATCAGCTACCTAGCCAATTACTCCATCCAGGTTTGATACTGGATAAGCGTTCGCACTCAGTCGCGTTAGTTATTGCAGATGCCCTCTCTTCCGTTCAACTGGGGTTTCCTGGCTTGGTGAACGGAATAATTCCAGGCTTGGCTGCCACTACAGCCTCTTTGACGGCTCCCAACACCAGAAAGCGTGAACATGATGATGATCTGAAGCCTGATTTATATACGAAAGTGCAAAGAGGTGAGTGTCTAGTTCCTGCAAATGTTCATTGAATTTTTCAAAAGTTTATTTCTTTCTTAAAATGAAAAAGAAATTTTTTTATCGCCCAAATTGAAAAAGAGACCTTGGCCACCCATATGCGCAGCTCGTTTCCTTATTATGTTACGTAATACTGAACGACTATTTGACGTGCTATGACAACGAGCAGACCATAACCGGAATTTTGTTCAATCAGAGCGCTCTCTTTTTCGCTCTTCCTCTCTATTACTTTACTCTTTCTTCTTTTTCTCTCTTTTCCTTTCTCGCTATCGCTCTTCCTCAGTTCAAACTTAAACGAACTCCTCATTTTTTTTTCTTCTTATTCTCCTTCTTTTATTACAAGCTTCTATACTATCTCCGTATGTCTCACCTCGACCGAGCGAGGGGACATTGTCGGCGCGACGACCTCATCTGCCTCTCTCCTATCGTCCGGAGGTCGCTGTTGGACCGGTCTTGTCGATTCTCGTACCATCGTCAGGCCCGGTACGAGATGATGGTAGGGGACGTGTCGTAAACCGTTTTTAACTTGAAAGTTTGAAAAAACTCATTTTTACTGTTTTTTGGTAACTGTTGCCGTTTTCCGCAAAATCTCACATTCCAAGAATGATAGATAGGGAGATCGTTTGATTTCTGGCTTGACAATGGCCTGGTTGCCACGTCGGTGGTCAACTGATAACTATTGGCACTACGGTTCAGATTTCCAGATCTGAAGCTTATCAGACTTTCTTTTCAGTGGTCTGAGAAGTTATATTGAAGCCTCGAACCATACCCGATTATTTGCATTCATCATCAACTGATTAGGCAAAACGACTCATCAGGAGGACGTGTTCTCAATCATTACGTGTTGTTGTAGAATTGGGCAATAACATTTAGCACGAACTTATGGGCTTGCATAACGTCTCTCTTAATCCTTCAACCTGATCTTCCTAAGTGACCTCTCTCTTAACGATGACCATAAAAGGAAACACTCTAGCTTTACCTAATGAACATGTCGATTGCGTCACGAACTGTCTGGAAACCAGGAAAATTGAAGAATGAAAACCTGTTTTTTTTGCTATTGTTGACAGCTGGTCAATGTGTCGGCAATGTGCGCGACCCCATTGCGCCATCGTTGTCGTCTGATTAGGCCGACGACGCATAACTGACCCTCGAGGTTCAGAATTCTGAAGTCATCGGATTGTGGACGAAGGATAGCAGACATTAAGGAGAGAATGGAACAGATGAACCAAGCGAAATGAGCGAACAGGGTCTCCTGACTGGTTTAGAAGGGATTGTTTTTAGAACCACGACCCACATACACGCACAAATTCAGATGACAACACACGTAAGAGAAAGGAGAGAATTCATTCGTTTGACTAAGTAGTTGCGCAATTTCAACAAGTTACTAGGATGATTTGGGTCTTTCCTTTTGAAATCAAAACTGGTATAGATGGGGGACAGCTAACAATTGACCAAAACGAACGCACGTGCCCCACTACAGTCACGAGAATCTCTTTTTTTGTTCCTCAAAAAAAAAAAGAATGAGATTTTGCCTCCCGGCTGTTGTCTCTAGATTTCCATTGAACTATGATGTCTTGATCCTCTCTAACAAATTCGATCACGAAGTATGAGCTGACACAATGCAGTTCAGGGCAAACTGTTCCAAATATAACAAGAATTCAGCCTCATTGATAGGTTTTAATCCGAGTTCCCTCTGAACTTTTTCCGCAAACCTGATTTTCAAATAATCAGATGATCGAAAAACTTTAAATTCAAATAAAAATTGCATCAAACATTCAACATTGCTCATCAAAAACTCTGAAACTCTTCTTTACAACTTAACAGCAAGGTTTTTGATGTTTTTCAATTAAAAAACTTGAAGGGTATGATTTCCATCTAAGGAATTTTTTCGGACCGAATAAACTTTATCTGCAGTATGTCTTCTGATGAGTTTGCCATGTGGAACTGGTTTCCAACTTTGGTTGGCTGTACCAGTCGTCGCCAAAGGTCACTTATCGTTTTCGAAATAGGAAAAAAAAGGAAAAGAAAAAATGAAAGAGCACACATGCGAAAGTACAAAACTGCCAAACAAGGACATTCAGTGACTCAAGGCTGTTCAGCTTTGCTGTTTAATGTGAATTAAATAGAAAATGGTCATAAAGTTTATTAGCCGACACTCGGATCATTTAATCCATGCAGAAGATGAAAAGAAATTTTCTTTTTTTCTCATTTGTCAATTTGTTTTACCTTGTCTCTTCATAATTTTCTCAAACAATCATCTGACGATGGAGAAGTTCTATGAGATTGTTTAACAAATGGAAATGAAGACAAACAAGTCTCAGAAATTCTGTTTCTGAGGTTACCGAACGATGCAAATCGGCCTCACTTTATATTTGCTGCCAACGTTTTCTATGAGTTACATATGAGCTTCATAACCGGTTTTCTTCCTTTTTTTCCTCTCAATGCTCACAAAAGTCTACTTGAGCTCGGGTCAAACGGGTAGAAACTGACTGTTTGCTTAACAGTCTTCAGAAAACTTTTTTTTGATCAATTTAAACTTTGAGGGAGAATAATTTCTTGAAATATATATTAGAATCTAAAAATGTAAACTTGATTCATCAGTTTTCTTCCTTTCAGGAGATGCTCAGACCACTTCTGTATCACCTACATCAACCAACAGCCCCGATCATCCAAACAGTGTTGATCGAAGAAGATTCACTGCTAGTAGCAAGTGAGTTTCATCATCAATGTACTTCCTTTCATTCAATCTTCTTCTCCTTTCAGTGATCGTATTCTTCGTTGTACAATTTGTCAAGAAAGACTGGAAGATACTCATTTTGTGCAATGTCCTTCTGTGAATGGACACAAGTTCTGCTTTCCCTGTTCTAGAGATTCTATCAAAAAGCAATGTAATGGACAGGTTAGAACAATGACTTTAGTTCGTTTTCATAAATTACTTTTTATAGGATCTATACTGCCCATCTGGAGAGAAATGCCCTTTAGTCAGCTCAGCAATGCCTTGGGCTTTCATGCAAACAGAAATTGCAACCATCTTAGGAGAAGAATATGACGACTTCAAGAGACAACGTGAAGCTGCTGGTCTCAGCTCATCAAGCACTAACAGCTCAGCTCAACAGCCCACACAAAGTTCTCAGGTACAACTTGTAAAATGAACAGTATGAGTATAAACGCTCCTTCCTACAGACGAACGCCCAACAGTCATCGCCGGCTTCGACCACAACTTCGAATACTTCTTCCTCTTCTGTGGCAACAACTCCTAACATGATTGCCAACTAAACGGCATATTAGAGAGTGTAAAACAGTTTAAACTCAGTGACTACGTTGTTGTCCAATCGGATTCCGGCTGGTTCCGGTGACTTTCTTAGCTTTCTCTTTCTGGCATGTCAGTACACAGACATTATGATATACCGGAGCCATCCAACAACGCTTGTAAATAATCTGCGCAACCTATAGAATAATTCCTCGTTCACATTGAGTTCTCTAAGTAGCTATTTCCATCATTTTTGTGTGTCGCAATGTATTTTTGATGAAATACATGGCATGCTAGGATGAGACACTCAGGTTTCCAAACATCACGTCGTTCCTCAAGACATGGACGTGTTTTTTCATTTATTCGGCTCTCTTTCTGTTTCATCTTCTCCTTGGTCTATCTCTTCCCTCTCTTTCTCATGTTTTTTTTGTCGTTTTTCATATAACTTGTTGTTAAAGTGGGATCTCTTGCGACTAGTGCATACAGGGCTTCAATCCTGCCTTGATGATTCTCTAGCGTTAACTGACCAGCTACTTCTTTTTTCTTTCTGGTCCATATTCATTGAGCTGTCTTTTTCATGCCTTTTATGTATCGAGCACGTAGTAGATTTAGATTTGTTTTTCCTATTACCTAAGCATTGTCCGCGTTTGACAGATCAGCAAAACAGTAACCGATATTGGGATATTACGGTTTCTCTATTCTTGTGTCTTTGTTTAGTTTAAAACGAACATGTATCTAATTAATTGAGATAAATTTTTATGAAAATGCTATAAGCTGAGTAAATTATACAGTAAAAATACAAAATTATTAATTGAAGAACAATCGTTGCGTACCCATACCCACAATCACAGCATACAGGCAACTAATACTTCTTTGAAGTTACCTAGTTTACATGAAACAACCAAATCAAATTATAAGCTCTGTTACTTAAGGAAAAAATAAAAATCGTTCTAGCTTGTCTCACTGGCAACTTACCCTTCTCATAATTAAACTGAAATATCGCAGAAAAATGCTCTAAAGCCCAATATGTGGACAACCAACGTTTGCAAAGGTGATGATATGTACATGAAGCTGGCAAACGAGTTGAAGTCTAGTGCGAATGTCCTGAAGCCAAAAAAGCAGGAACTATCGCACCAGCGATGATAGCTCCTAGTTCTTTCATTGTAAATGTGGTTCCACCTGCAATTGTTTAAACTTATAATGACTGATTAAGAACCTGGACAAACAAGATTCCATAAAATACGAGAATAAAGAATTTGAATACTACGATATGTCTACGAAAGAAAAAGACACAAACCTGCATGACTGTGACCGGCTGAGGCAGGCGATTGAACATCAACTAACTTATTATAAGCAAAGCTGTCTTCCGAATGCTTTGATTGGTTGGCCTGTAAGATTCAGATGAAAACGGTGTGAAAAGGGGTCTCTTACTAATTCAGGCAGAACATGTACCGTTGCTACATACAAGAATGTTCCAGCGGAGAAAAGCATAAGCATCCCTGTGCTAGACTCACTTGCCAAGCTATCTCCACTCTGAAATACATGTGATTTATTCTTCAATAAGAATAGTTACTCATACATGTTGGATGATTAGATATGTGAAAAATGCTCCGAATGGTGCAGCTAGAGAGAACACCAACAAGTGCTTGCGAATGTTCCGAATGTCAATCTTTTCAACCAATAGAAACGACACAAGACCGAACGCAGCAGGTCCCTATCACAGAAAAAGCATAAAAGAAAAAAGTTCGATGGCTCACTTTGTGCAACATAATAGCGATGAACACAATAAGCTGAACATCGGCTTTATTTATGGTGGATGCACTTCCTAATGCAATGCCATCAGCTGCAAAAGCGTTGAATTTAGAGAATGGCACATTCTAATACCTGCTGCATGTACTACTAAACCGATAGTTGCTGATATACCCATTCTGTTCCTCCCATTCCTATCATCTAAAGGAAACTATAGAAGCATCAGATGTGCAATAACTACCTCTTGATATAGCACAACTACTTATTTGGTCAACTAAGAGCATGAAAATGAACCCAATAACCAGAGAATATCCGATCTCTTTATGTATGTTTGCAGTGTTTCCATGCGAATGAGATTCATGCTCGTCTGAAGAAAATACGTTGCCATATGCAATTGTCCACCCCCATATGCAAATTTAAATCTTAGTCGCGCGCTTTTCATTTTCATTCTTGATACTGTATACGTGGAGAACGGTTGTAAAAGCATAAGTACATACATTTCAATAATATAGATCAGTTGATTGCTTGGAAAGATAGAAAATGGAAAACATACCCGAACTACGTTTCACCCTAACAGTTTCATCCGACTCAATGTGGGTTTCTATAACGGTCTCCAGGATATTTCTCTTGTTTTTGCTTCAAATCACAAAATAAAGGCATGTTGAACATAAATAATATACCGATCTTGGATGTTTGGATCAGGTGGAGCAACTCGAGGAAGTTCAATAGCGCTCTTACTCTCAGAGGCTTTTAGTATTGAGTTGGCATCCATTTCATTATGCAAAGATGACAAATCATGATGGTGTGCGCCTAAAATTGATGTTCGCATGAGTGTTCATGTAACTTTGAACAAACTTTGTTGAGAATTGTACAATGCTTCAACACCTTCAGGTAATATGACGGCTAATGCAGTTCCAATTAGCAACCCTGCCCCAAAGATGCTAACTATACGCAGACGAGACTTAAGATAATGTTTTCACACGCGTTGAAATCATAATAATTACCTCAGACATAGGGAAGAGTAAAGGTATTGATCCAGCTATATAACTACCAAGGAACATTGCTCCTGAGAGTACTGTTAGAAACGCTATCCCGTCCATAATCTGTAAAGGTCGCGATCATGTGGTTCAAGAAATGCCAAGCAACCAAAAGAACATATGAAGCAATGTAATTTCAAACAATACAATTCAATAGGAAGATGCTTTACTGTATCAAATGGAAGACAATTCAGATTCAGATATTCATGTTATCATTTTAGTAGCACATTGAAACAAACTGTTCTCTTTGCAATGTGTAAAAGATCAAAGCATACGTAATTGCGTATGCGTAATTTTCAATGTGACGGTTCAAGCTTATTTGTCCTCAAAAATTCAAATTTTCATTGTTTTCCTTTGAAATTTGTAGTTCAATTAGCGTTTCAGCATGATCTTCGAGTTTCAATGATTCTTTGAGCTATATTTAGAGCTTTGTCAATCCTAATCTGTTATTGTTCAGGTTTTTGAAACACTATATACTGTTAATCACGCGTGGAAGTTTCTCAGACTTGTAGCCATGGGAGCTAAATCAAAGTGAGTTGTGCTTGTTTAAAGATTTGAAATGTAATTGTTGAGGTATGTAATCGTACAATTAGCCAGTGTAATTACTGGGTCAACTAGAGTTTGGGTGCGGGAACGTGCTGCCGACAAGTTCTCGGGAGTCTTTTTCGATCCAGCATGTGAGTTTTGTAACTTTCATGAAAGCTTCTTATCTTTATCCCTTCAGTAGGCAAGAACTGCTTATTTGAAGAAGCAAAGCGCATAAAAGGTAAATCTGAATTACCAAAAAGAATCAAACAAATGTATGAAATCTCTGGTTAAAATTGTTGTTGTTGTTTCGTAGAGTCGTTTAGGATAATAAATTAGTTTTTCTTTGTAGTTCATGTGAACTTTGACATCGTTTCAATCGTTCCATTATCTTTCTTTCACCTTCTTTGCCTTTTCCTCATCTTGTTATAGGGATTTGACACGGGTTCCGATTGGAAAGCCATGGATACTACTACTGTGGCCATTGCCACTGCTGTGATTGTGAGTTCGTACTTGAAAACCTTTGATAATGCTTGCTTTTAGGTTGTTCTTATAACTCTTCTTCTTCTCTTTAAAAAAGGTGTGAAGAAGAACACCGTCTTATTCGTCGGATTGAGTGACTCAGGAAAAACCAAAATGTTCACTAAGATCGTCAATCGAAGTATGTTCATATGGGCTCTAGCATAATAGTAATCAAATTAAGATGCCGATGCTATAACTTATACATCATTCCAAGAAAATATTGTGGAACTCCAAGTTAAAGGAGATTCCGTACATGTAGTAGACTTCCCAGGAGGCGAGAGATTCCGAAAACAATTGGCCGAAAAATGGCTTACAAAGGTTACTTTTACATGAACCATCAAAACGTGTAGTTTTTTTGTTTAGGAGAGAAGTTCATTGAAGGGAATTGTTTTTGTAATTGATGCGTCCACTTATTCTAAAAGAGCACGAGATGTTGCTGAATTCCTCTATGATGTTATTCTGAACTCTGGATCACGTGTATGTATTTTTATCACTCGAATGCTTAGTGATGTAGATGTGTACGAAAAAAAAACAAAATACTGAAAGACTTACTAAGCGTTTTCTAAAGTTGAAAAAAAGCAACCGTTCCCTTTGCGTTATGAATTAAAAATGAGGTGACGCGCGCATTTCAAAGTTCACGTGACTGACGTGCTTAGAAGATTATGCTAAATTAGCATATGAAGTTTACATGTTTGATAAGTTTGAAGAAATTTTCAGATTCCCGTACTGTCTGCTTGCAATAAACAAGATCTTAACTTGGCGAAAAGTGATCAAGTAAGAGTCTAAAAATCTAACAGCTAATTCTTGTTTGTATTTGTAAGGTTGTGAAAACTGCTTTGGAGAAAGAGTTAGGCCTCATCAACAAGACCAGAGCTGCTGCTTTAGTAACCACTGATGGTTCAGCCAATCGCAAAACATTAACAGATACTGGATCAGACTTCACTTGGTCTGACCTCAAATGGTCAGTGTTTGAAAACAATTTACTCGAATAAACTGTGTTTTCAGTTCCGTGGACTTTGTGGAATGTAGTGCCGAGTCCGACAAAGGACTTGATGCCATAAGAAGTTGGTTAAAAAACTAAGCTGATTAGCTTGGAAAAATATTTTCAATTGTTTCTTGTCAGTTTCTCGTTTCTCGCTTGATTCCCATGCATTCATTTTATGTGCATTACATATTTAAAATTCTGTCATAATCATTGAGTAGTACTCTTAGTATTTATTTCCAGAAAATATTGTTTGCAAACAGCTGTGATGGCTTTTTCGTGAAAAGAATGAAAATTTCCTTCAATTGCTTCATCTGAATAGGTCACAGAGTTGCAACAAAACGATTGCTGATCGCAACTCTCCTTTAGAATGATGATGTCATGAATTTGAAAATAATTAAAGTGATTAGAAACTGCGACATAATTAGAGAGCTTCTGTTGGGAACGTTTTATCCAAACTTCAGGGTATTTTTCAATTGTCAACGTCTAGTCAGCAGGCACTTCTCCCATGCCTAAAGAATTGACCTATTGTGACGCAACGACAAAAAGCCGCTGTACTACTCAAAGCTCATATCTAGGTTTGTGTGTTTCAGTTTTTGGCAGGGAAATGACAGAATCGTCCAAAATGAGATGTTGTTGCTTCGAAATATATGAGAATCTTTATGAGATCGTGAGCAAAGGTTCGCATTTAGTTACAGATCGTTGAACGACTACGTTTTGTTCCAATTTAATCATAAAATATATGAAATACCTTCAATTAATGTCTGAAAACAAGCGTTTTGCGGCAAAACATACTGTTTTTCACTATTCTCCTGAACACTAAGCTGACGAAAGCAAATTGAAGCAGAAAATCCTACAGAAATATAGCCTGATCAATGAGCTTTGCTATGTCCTTTTGCATACGTTGCGTTTTTTCACGGTATTGAACTTGATTGGTCTTGTTCATGAATTGAATCTCGAGACAGGGAAGACATTGGACTTTCTCAGATGTAATCTGCTTAACAGCTTTTATTATGAATTATTAGTGTTTGTTCCTTATTTGGATATGCATGTTCAAGTTAATCTATCTAAAAGCCACATATACATCATCTTTCTTTGTCTTTCGTCTTTAGGTTATTCAAGATTTTTAAATAAAATATGTCTTTAGATCACTTTTTCAATCTTTTTGATCGAAAGACGCAATTATCTTTAAGATTTTTGGGCAACATTAGTATATTCTGAAGAAAAGCTCCACCTCCTTCTCCTAACCGTTGCCTTCCTTTACTGCTCCTCCTCCTCCACCTACTCCTCCTCTTCATTTCTGAATTCACGTACCGCCTCTCGTCTTCACCATTCTCCCTTTAAATGCAATGTATCCCATCTCCTCTTTGTCGCCTGTTTATCTTCAGAAGTTTTCTTACTCCCCTCACTTTCCTGAAGCACATAGTAGTCTCGTGGTCGTTCTCCCAGTCTGAAGACGTTTCAGCTGGCTCATAATCCGTCCTGATAGCTCATTCGAGCTGGCAAAACTCTTTTGACTTCGCAAGTTCTAAGTAATATAAGCGTTGAATCTCGTTCTTTGTCATTTCTTTTCTCCTCCCCACAGCTCGCTAGCAAGCTCAATATTTTTCCAGACACCAAAACATTCCTGATTTGCTTTTTGTTTTCCTAATAGTTTTTTGATACTCTGAAGCATGGAACTGTTTCCAACATCCATGAAATCATTGCAGATTACAGACTTAACTGATTCGACAGATTATCACCCGGTCGTTTTAAACAAAACAAGATAATTCTGTTTAACTTCAAAGCCGAACTTACATAATGATGTGAAATGATATACTTCCTAGTTCCTCCCACCCATAATTCAGTTCGGCAAGGATTTCGTTCAGAACAAATAGTTGCTGCTTGCCTTCCTGGTCAGTAGACGAATGCTTTGCTCATTCACTCACGTGAATCCAGTAATGTTGCTGTATGAAAAAGAAATTACTCCAGTCTATATTAGGCTACAATGACAGTCATAAATTTTATTTTTGTTGTTATTCAGTTAAATGAAGTATATAAGTATAAGCTTCCTTTCCCCAGATAAAGCGGAAAAGTAAAAGAGGAATGAGGTAGTACTTTCCTTCATACATTCATTCTCTTTCGTACTCTCCTCATTCGACTCCATTTCATGAATGATACGTTAAGAAACACAATTATCCTACCTGACCAGCTATATAACGAGCCAAGCATCTTTCAATCTCATTTTTCATTTCCTTTTTCAAATAAAAACACGTCAATGCTCGTCTTTCTTCCTTTTTTTTACGTTTTGACTAAGATGAATATGAAGTAAATTCTTGTGTCATCTCATAGCTACACGATACTCTCCCTTACGAATGACATATTTGGATGTTTGTGCATTCAGATATGTTTTTCTTATGAAAGACTCAAAGTTTTCTGAACTCTTGCTTACATCTCTCTTCATCGTTCAGTTCTGTGTTCAAATATAAACAATTTTTAAGGTAAACAATGCTATCTCCTGTAGCTTTTTTTGTGGCTTGTTTGATAATCTTACAATCAAGCCTAACCGTCTCATCAGCTTCTGCAGCTGTGGAAAGATTCCGAGCATTATCTGGCAGTTATCCTCCATTTGAATATGATGAGCCAAGGTACTATCACAAACAGCTCAACATCAGACATAAAACTTTCTTTAAAGGTTTGGAGCTTATCCTTTAGTGAAACGCAATCGTATGTGTCTCATTAACGCTGGTCTCTCTCAAGGATGTGATCTTTCGGATATTTTGATGGCAAAACAACAGGTTTCTAAAGAATTCGCATATTCTTATGCAGTTGTTGTTTTATAGGCTAGTAAGTTTATGAGTTTCGCTGGTCCTGGACGCTAAGGATATGAAGAACTTCACATAGAAGATTCTTCACCTATATTCTCCTTCTCTGTCATCATTCATCGTCGTCGTTCATTGTCATCAACAGAATCTATTATCATCAGCATCTCATTTACTTCATGATCAAATCCAGCATTTCTTATGAACTTGGTTCTTACAAAAATTGTTTTCAAACTCTCTCTCTCTCTCTCTGTTTCTTTCCGATCAGTGGAAACCCCCTGCGATGGGTTCAGCTTTACCATCATTAATGCGAGTTATTTCAGGAATATTCCTAATAAAGTGACTACAGCTTGTTATAAAAGTTTATTTGAAAACAAAGAAAAGAAAAAAAACAAAATGAAAGAACAGCCAGCAGTTAACTCACCACCAATTTCAATAAAAATAATGTAAAGCATATACCGAAATAGTTTAATGACGATGAACTGTTACAAAGATTCTTGTTCTGGCAACAGCAATAATCTTCTCCAGATCCTTTACCCGGTTTATAACATCTGAAACAATTACAACATTGACGTGCAAGAAAACGTTCCTCGTTTATTTAAATCGAAATCTCGTAGCACTGTTGAGAACTGTCTGGATACATTCTTCGTTCAACACTCTCTTTCTCTCTCTCTCTCTTTCTCCCTCTCTCTCATATTGTGTCTGCGTTTCTTGTATTCTTTAGTTTTCGACTTCATAAGCTATTCTCACCCAGCTTCAGGAGCATAACAAAACTCTGATACGTCGGTGCATCCGCGATAGACTCCAGACGAGTTCGTTAGCTTCAAACACCACAGTTGATCTGGTTCGCATTCAACGTCCTGAAAGAGAATAAGAAAAAGGAAAAATAAATGAAAATAAGAATAGATGAGGGTCCATCCCTTATCTTCCAATCCTACTTGATCTGAAAACTAGAGAAAACCCCCTAGATAGTATATAAAAGACGAAATTGCTTACATTCATAGCGCCATCATAACAGTGAAGTCTTGATTGAACGCTTGAAACAAGAAAAATCAGAAAGAAGTATTTATTCATCGTTTTAAAAACCAGAACTAGAGTAATCAAAGAAAATTGAGCTTTTGAAGACCATTTTATAGCTTAAATTACAATTTGATAAGGATTTTGATTATTCAGGAAGCCACACATAGAACGTTAAGTATATCATCATTTTAGAAAGAGCATTAAATTTCTTTTTTATGAACACTCAAAAATGAAAAATCGTTTCAGTCTTTGTCTTCCAGAATTGATTTCATTTGAAAATTTGAAAATCACTGATTAGTGCGTAATGATCAGATGGATAGTCATTCTGCATGTGATACGGAATCCTCATCAATGGCTCATTGCCTTTGTACAGAAACGATCTTATAGGTTTAACAGGACCTGCAAATATTTTTTCTCTTAGTTATGTACTCTGAACTCTTGTGTAAACAACCTTTGAAATATATGAAATCAATACGATCTTGAGGTTCTGGTATAGTGTAATCCCATTCAGCGTTGAATTTATTAACTGTCGACCAACTATTTCCTACATCACTAAGGATTACTGATAGGAACACCATTGGATATACCTGGATGCGTTGACGGATTCGGATAGAGATACCTGTAAGAGTCTATAAATCCAAGCTGTTCCAAAATTTTTGTTGCAGGCCATTCTACTGACCATCCACCATGTACTCCACTCAAAGCAAGCTGTTGTTAATTAGATAAGAAAATTGGGAGCTCTACGTTTGGTTTAATGTCCAATCTAGGTGAGAAGGACAGTTGAAATCTCCGGTAAAAATGAAAGGTATCGAGTCACATTTCTGTAACCATCGTCTCATGGTCGGGTTCTCATAAACTTCCATCATATTATGCCATCGACCTTAACCATGCTATTTTTCATTGTCCGTGAAGTGCGATAGATCGAGTGAATGTATTACATACCATCACCAAATGATGGTTTCTCTCCTGCCATTATTTGATCCATTTTCGTAACGAGCTTATTGAAAGCCGCATAAGGTCCGTATGCTCTATATTGTAAGTGCGCTGTCCAAATATTGATGAAATGACCGGAAGTTAGAGAAATTCGAAGACCCATAGTCCAGTTGGTGTAAGCGAAAGAATGTAAATGAATCTATGAGATATTAAATAAAGAAAAATTGCTATCGATATAGTTACGGAGTGCTTCGTTAATATGCCAACATCGGGGTATTCCTTATTGGGTACCACTCCTTTCCATTGTCGTCCCAAGAGATATTCCAGATCCGATATGACAGTAATATTAGAAACTTCCTAAACAATCTACGATTATGGTTGCATGAATCGATTACCTGTAATGTAACGACATCCGGATCAACAATACTGATGTGCTTAGCTATTTTCCACAAACCATTCTCAACGTTTGCTCCTGATTGCCAGATATTGAATGTCATGATACGAAGAACATTGCTGCTGGTTGAATGAATTTCAGTTAGAAGCAGAAGCAGAAGAAGTTCTTTCATTGCTTAAATAAACTCAATTTGAGAAAATATCTATGAGTAGTTGAGACTTTTTACACAATTTTATCAACAATCATCGGGGCGCCAATTGATTGATAGTGATCTTACGCAACATGTTTGTCTGTGTTCCAATTACATTTGGAAAGTTAAGTGCGTATATTGTGTAAATATAATGCTTGTAATAGCTACAAGCGTTAATATGAAGAAAATTGTACTGATAATTTTTGACAAGCAAGCTTCGAGTTTGGGTTGAAATACTTACCTAGTACGCCTCGATAGCTCAGTTGGGAGAGCGTTAGACTGAAGATCTAAAGGTCACCAGTTCGATCCTGGTTCGGGGCATCTTTTTTCTATTTTTCAGATGATTTGATAAATTTTTTTTCAAAAAAAAAATATAATTTAGAAAACTCAAAAAGAAAATGAAAATATATGGATGTTATTTTCAGTATCAAAAAAGAAATATCAATTGGTTTAGCTTCAGAAACTCGTTTATTTTATTTTTCTCGTTTGGGCGTTTGATCAAAAATATCTTAGCAGGGTGAAGTGTACGTTTTAATTTTTTCTCAGAACTTTAAAAAAAAAACTATGCTCGGGCAACATACTCTTTGCTCATTGGATTCACTCCTCCTACGCGTTTTTTTATTCCATTGTTATCAACTGTTTCATATGCAGAAGCTATCTTTTTGCCAGCTTCTCAGATATGAAATTTGAAGAAGAAGAATGTACTCATCGACACTGTTTTTTGAAAATTTCCGAGAACAAACGGAACCGTTCGTAGCTCGCGATGGTATGATTTGTTATTGCAGGATTGTAGCTGAACGGCTTTGTTTCAGTGGGACAACAATTTCATCGAACATCCTGTTATCAACATGAGAAGAATTCTCTGAACAACTCGAAGTTGCCCAGATTCCTCTCTGAGAGTATCGATGGATCCTTATGTTCTGATTATGTACAGCTTGTCCTCTTTTGGATTCATCATCATATTTTTATCACTTTATCTTCTTCTCACTGTCTCTACTAAGATGACTCCTTTAACTCGGTTCGTCATACATGGTCATGATTTGTCGTAAGTGCTATCTTTGAGAAAGAGAATAACAGAGTTCCTCAAGATCTGCTTTCCATATGCTCTATGTAACACTGGGAGTCACACCTTCTATGCTTCTTCCTTGTACCTCTTATTACCCAAATGGTTTTTTGACTCGGCTCGGAATAAT